GTGTGTGTTTCAGACTTCCCTCTGATTGGTCCAATCCTGCTGTGTGTGTTTCAGACTTCCCTCTGATTGGTCCAATCCTGCTGTGTGTGTTTCAGACTTCCCTCTGATTGGTCCAATCCTGCTGTGTGTGTTTCAGACTTCCCTCTGATTGGTCCAATCCTGCTGTGTGTGTTTCAGACTTCCCTCTGATTGGTCCAATCCTGCTGTGTGTGTTTCAGACTTCCCTCTGATTGGTCCAATCCTGCTGTGTGTGTTTCAGACTTCCCTCTGATTGGTCCAATCCTGCTGTGTGTGTTTCAGACTTCCCTCTGATTGGTCCAATCCTGCTGTGTGTGTTTCAGACTTCCCTCTGATTGGTCCAATCCTGCTGTGTGTGTTTCAGACTTCCCTCTGATTGGTCCAATCCTGCTGTGTGTGTTTCAGACTTCCCTCTGATTGGTCCAATCCTGCTGTGTGTGTTTCAGACTTCCCTCTGATTGGTCCAATCCTGCTGTGTGTGTTTCAGACTTCCCTCTGATTGGTCCAATCCTGCTATGATTGTTTCAGACATCCAGGAGTTTTACGAGCTGACTGTTTGTGAGAACCAGACGTCTTGCAGCCCAAACACACCTGGTCAGGTAAGAACAAACAGTCATTTGCATGACAACACCTGACTCTGTTACTTAGCAACAGCTGCAGCAGCATCCCCGGTGCAACAGCTGCATATCACCGTGGCAACAGGAGCCCAGCCCCCACCTTCTCCTCTCTCTCTCCTATTGTGGACGGATATCTCTCGTCCTTCTTCCACCTCGGCTCAATGAGGTCCCCCCCCCATACTAACACAGAGGTTCTCCTCTTCATCACTCCCTCCTCCTCCTCCTCCTCTCAGCCGACAGACGGAGGGACAGAAGGGGCGAGCGAGCATTTACTCACAGAGAGAGAGAGAGCATGAGTGTGTGAGGGAGTGAGTGTGTGTGTGGAGATGTGTGTGTGTGAGAGTGTGTGAGTGTGTGTGGGGTGGGGGGGGATATGGACTGCCTCTGCATTGTCACCACCAAGGTAGGAGCTGAGCGCCGCATCAGAACACGGAGAACACACGCGTGTTCCGGTCCTCATAAAGAGACAAGGTCCATTTTTTCACATGTGTGTTTGTTTGTGACATCCCACCTTCTGCTGCCTTCATGTGTGTTTGTGTTGGTGTAGCCACAGTAGCATGTTAGCTCAGGTTAGCAGTTAGCAGGGCAGCAGCCAGATGTTGCAGCAACATGTGGATGATTCTGCAGGGTTCTGCAACAGGTCTGGTTCTGGTTGGAGCAGACGGCTGAGATGTTCTGATGGCTTAGAGGGAATCCCAGGTTTGGATCAATAGAAGGTGTTCTGATAAACCCGAGTGGTTCTGTGGACCAGTTTCTGTTCAGAGAGCTCCAGTTCTGGGCTGATGGTATCTTTCTTCTGTCTGGACCACGGAGGTTCAGCTGGAGCAGGATGGTGCTCCAGAACCTTGGTGTCGATCCGGTTCAGGCAGCAGAATCTACTGACTCTGGCTGCTCTGTTCCTCCTGTTAACGGTACCGGCTGGTTCTGTCTGTCCCATTTAATGGATCTGATCGGATCTTTAATCTCAGCTGATCTTCATCTTCAGAATCGTTTTATTTATCAATCCTTCTGAAAGGACCCAAACATCTGCTGCTTATAGGAACTCAGTTTATGAATGAATAATAAACATGATATGGTTTAATAATGAGAGAAAATAATTGATTGAAATGTTTGGTTATTAGAATCAAAGCAAAGCTGAGCTGAGAGTTCAGCACTGTGGACAGCTCCTGTCCAGATGTCCTCATTAGAACCTGCTGCTGATCTTCTCTGTGGACAGTTGGTCTGAATATTCGGTTCTGATCATTAATCAGTGGATCATTCCGTCCTTCTTAAATCCATGGAGTGAGTCAGAAAACATCTCTGGAAGAACGTCTACCAGACAAGAAGTCCTTCAATTGACTGAGCATGTACAGTCCACGTCTGTCCTCGTGTCCTCGGTGCCAAGGCCAACGTCTATCCTCTGATCCCATGGTACCGTTGTCCATGCCTGTACTCTCTTTCTTCTTGTAACATGGTCCAGGCCTGTCCCCTGGCACTGTGGTCCGAGTCTGTTCTCATGTCCCTGGTGCTGTGGTCCGAGTCTGTTCTCATGTCCCTGGTGCTGTGGTCCGAGTCTGTTCTCATGTCCCCTGGTGCTGTGGTCCGAGTCTGTTCTCATGTCCCCTGGTGCTGTGGTCCGAGTCTGTTCTCATGTCCCCTGGTGCTGTGGTCCGAGTCTGTTCTCATGTCCCCTGGTACTGTGGTCCAAGTCTGTTCTCATGTCCCCTGGTACTGTGGTCCGAGTCTGTTCTCATGTCCCCTGGTACTGTGGTCCGAGTCTGTTCTCATGTCCCCTGGTACTGTGGTCCGAGTCTGTTCTCATGTCCTCTGGTACTGTGGTCCGAGTCTGTTCTCATGTCCCCTGGTGCTGTGGTCCGAGTCTGTTCTCATGTCCCCTGGTACTGTGGTCCAAGTCTGTTCTCATGTCCCCTGGTACTGTGGTCCAAGTCTGTTCTCATGTCCCCTGGTACTGTGGTCCAAGTCTGTTCTCATGTCCCCTAGTACTGCGGTCTGGGCTTATCCTGTTGTCCCCTGGTGCTGTGGTCCAAGTCTGTTCTCATGTCCCCTGGTACTGTGGTCCGAGTCTGTTCTCATGTCCCCTAGTACTGCGGTCTGGGATTATCCTCTTGTCCCCTGGTACTGGGATCCAAGTCTGTTCTCATGTCCTCTGGTACTGTGGTCCGAGTCTGTTCTCATGTCCCCTAGTACTGCGGTCTGGGATTATCCTCTTGTCCCCTGGTACTGGGATCCAAGTCTGTTCTCATGTCCCCTGGTGCTGTGGTCCGAGTCTGTTCTCATGTCCTCTGGTACTGTGGTCCGAGTCTGTTCTCATGTCCCTGGTACTGTGGTCCGAGTCTGTTCTCATGTCCCCTAGTACTGTGGTCTGGGCTTATCCTGTTGTCCCCTGGTACTGTGGTCCAAGTCTGTTCTCATGTTCCCTGGTGCTGTGGTCCGAGTCTGTTCTCATGTCCCCTGGTACTGTGGTCCATGCCTGTTCTCATGTCCCCTAGTACTGTGGTCTGGGCTTATCCTGTTGTCCCCTGGTACTGTGGTCCAAGTCTGTTCTCATGTTCCCTGGTGCTGTGGTCCGAGTCTGTTCTCATGTCCCCTGGTACTGTGGTCCTTGCCTGTTCTCATGTCCCCTGGTACTGTGGTCCTTGCCTGTTCTCATGTCCCCTGGTACTGTGGTCCAAGTCTGTTCTCATGTCCCCTGGTGCTGTGGTCCGAGTCTGTTCTCATGTCCCCTGGTACTGTGGTCCTTGCCTGTTCTCATGTCCCCTGGTACTGTGGTCCATACCTGTTCTCATGTCCCCTGGTACTGTGGTCCAAGTCTGTTCTCATGTCCCCTGGTGCTGTGGTCCGAGTCTGTTCTCATGTCCCCTGGTACTGTGGTCCATACCTGTTCTCATGTCCCCTGGTACTGTGGTCCGAGTCTGTTCTCATGTCCCCTGGTGCTGTGGTCCGAGTCTGTTCTCATGTCCCCTGGTGCTGTGGTCCGAGTCTGTTCTCATGTCCCCTGGTGCTGTGGTCCATACCTGTTCTCATGTCCCCTGGTGCTGTGGTCCGAGTCTGTTCTCATGTCCCCTGGTGCTGTGGTCCGAGTCTGTTCTCATGTCCCCTGGTACTGTGGTCTGAGTCTGTTCTCTGTCCTCTGGTACTGTGGTCCGAGTCTGTTCTCATGTCCCCTGGTACTGTGGTCCATGCCTGTTCTCATGTCCCCTAGTACTGTGGTCTGGGCTTATCCTGTTGTCCCCTGGTGCTGTGGTCCAAGTCTGTTCTCATGTCCCCTGGTACTGTGGTCCAAGTCTGTTCTCATGTCCCCTGGTGCTGTGGTCCGAGTCTGTTCTCATGTCCCCTGGTACTGTGGTCCGAGTCTGTTCTTATGTCCCCTGGTACTGTGGTCCAAGTCTGTTCTCATGTCCCCTGGTACTGTGGTCCAAGTCTGTTCTCATGTCCCCTGGTGCTGTGGTCCGAGTCTGTTCTCATGTCCCCTGGTACTGTGGTCCTTGCCTGTTCTCATGTCCCCTGGTACTGTGGTCCATACCTGTTCTCATGTCCCCTGGTACTGTGGTCCAAGTCTGTTCTCATGTCCCCTGGTGCTGTGGTCCGAGTCTGTTCTCATGTCCCCTGGTACTGTGGTCCATACCTGTTCTCATGTCCCCTGGTACTGTGGTCCGAGTCTGTTCTCATGTCCCCTGGTGCTGTGGTCCGAGTCTGTTCTCATGTCCCCTGGTGCTGTGGTCCGAGTCTGTTCTCATGTCCCCTGGTGCTGTGGTCCATACCTGTTCTCATGTCCCCTGGTGCTGTGGTCCGAGTCTGTTCTCATGTCCCCTGGTGCTGTGGTCCGAGTCTGTTCTCATGTCCCCTGGTACTGTGGTCTGAGTCTGTTCTCTGTCCTCTGGTACTGTGGTCCGAGTCTGTTCTCATGTCCCCTGGTGCTGCGGTCTGAGTCTGTTCTCATGTCCCCTGGTACTGTGGTCCGAGTCTGTTCTCATGTCCCCTGGTGCTGCGGTCCGAGTCTGTTCTCATGTCCCCTGGTGCTGTGGTCCGAGTCTGTTCTCATGTCCCCTGGTACTGTGGTCCGAGTCTGTTCTCATGTCCCCTGGTGCTGTGGTCCGAGTCTGTTCTCATGTCCCCTGGTGCTGTGGTCCGAGTCTGTTCTCATGTCCCCTGGTGCTGTGGTCCGAGTCTGTTCTCATGTCCCCTGGTGCTGTGGTCCGAGTCTGTTCTCATGTCCCCTGGTACTGTGGTCCGAGTCTGTTCTCATGTCCCCTGGTACTGTGGTCCAAGTCTGTTCTTATGTCCCCTAGTACTGTGGTCCAAGTCTGTTCTCATGTCCCTGGTACTGTGGTCCGAGTCTGTTCTCATGTCCCCTAGTACTGTGGTCTGGGCTTATCCTGTTGTCCCCTGGTGCTGTGGTCCGAGTCTGTTCTCATGTCCCCTGGTACTGTGGTCCGAGTCTGTTCTCATGTCCCTGGTACTGTGGTCCGAGTCTGTTCTCATGTCCCCTGGTACTGTGGTCCAAGTCTGTTCTCATGTTCCCTGGTGCTGTGGTCCGAGTCTGTTCTCATGTCCCCTGGTACTGTGGTCCATGCCTGTTCTCATGTCCCCTGGTACTGTGGTCCGAGTCTGTTCTCATGTCCTCTGGTACTGTGGTCCGAGTCTGTTCTCATGTCCCTGGTACTGTGGTCCGAGTCTGTTCTCATGTCCCCTAGTACTGTGGTCTGGGCTTATCCTGTTGTCCCCTGGTGCTGTGGTCCGAGTCTGTTCTCATGTCCCTGGTACTGTGGTCCGAGTCTGTTCTCATGTCCCCTAGTACTGTGGTCTGGGCTTATCCTGTTGTCCCCTGGTACTGTGGTCCATACCTGTTCTCATGTCCCCTGGTACTGTGGTCCAAGTCTGTTCTCATGTCCCCTGGTACTGTGGTCCAAGTCTGTTCTCATGTCCCCTAGTACTGCGGTCTGGGCTTATCCTGTTGTCCCCTGGTGCTGTGGTCCGAGTCTGTTCTCATGTCCCCTGGTGCTGTGGTCCGAGTCTGTTCTCTTGTCCCCTGGTACTGTGGTCCGAGTCTGTTCTCATGTCCCCTGGTGCTGTGGTCCGAGTCTGTTCTCATGTCCCCTGGTGCTGTGGTCCGAGTCTGTTCTCATGTCCCCTGGTACTGTGGTCCGTGTCTGTTCTCATGTCCCCTGGTACTGTGGTCCGTGTCTGTTCTCATGTCCCCTGGTACTGCGGTCCTAGTCTGTTCTCATGTCCCCTGGTACTGTGGTCCGTGTCTGTTCTCATGTCCCCTGGTACTGTGGTCCTAGTCTGTTCTCATGTCCCCTGGTACTGTGGTCCGTGTCTGTTCTCATGTCCCCTGGTACTGTGGTCCAAGTCTGTTCTCATGTCCCCTGGTACTGTGGTCCAAGTCTGTTCTCATGTCCCCTGGTACTGTGGTCCAAGTCTGTTCTCATGTCCCCTGGTACTGTGGTCCAAGTCTGTTCTCATGTCCCCTGGTACTGTGGTCCAAGTCTGTTCTCATGTCCCCTAGTACTGTGGTCTGGGCTTATCCTGTTGTCCCCTGGTACTGTGGTCCGAGTCTGTTCTCATGTCCCCTGGTACTGTGGTCCAAGTCTGTTCTCATGTCCCCTAGTACTGTGGTCTGGGCTTATCCTGTTGTCCCCTGGTACTGTGGTCCAAGTCTGTTCTTATGTCCCCTAGTACTGTGGTCCAAGTCTGTTCTCATGTCCCCTGGTGCTGTGGTCCGAGTCTGTTCTCATGTCCCCTGGTGCTGTGGTCCGAGTCTGTTCTCATGTCCCCTGGTGCTGTGGTCCGAGTCTGTTCTCATGTCCCCTGGTACTGTGGTCCAAGTCTGTTCTCATGTCCCCTGGTGCTGTGGTCCATACATGTTCTCATGTCCCCTGGTACTGTGGTCCGAGTCTGTTCTCATGTCCCCTGGTGCTGTGGTCCATACATGTTCTCATGTCCCCTGGTACTGTGGTCCGAGTCTGTTCTCATGTCCCCTGGTGCTGTGGTCCGAGTCTGTTCTCATGTCCCCTGGTACTGTGGTCCGAGTCTGTTCTCATGTCCCCTGGTACTGTGGTCCGAGTCTGTTCTCATGTCCCCTGGTGCTGTGGTCCGAGTCTGTTCTCATGTCCCCTGGTACTGTGGTCCGAGTCTGTTCTCATGTCCCCTGGTACTGTGGTCCTTGCCTCTTCTCATATCCCCTAGTACTGCGGCCTGGGCTTATCCTGTTGTCCCCTTGTGCTGTGGTCCGAGTCTGTTCTCATGTCCCCTGGTACTGTGGTCCGAGTCTGTTCTCATGTCCCCTGGTGCTGTGGTCCGAGTCTGTTCTCATGTCCCCTGGTACTGTGGTCCGAGTCTGTTCTCATGTCCCCTGGTACTGTGGTCCTTGCCTCTTCTCATGTCCCCTAGTACTGCGGCCTGGGCTTATCCTGTTGTCCCCTTGTGCTGTGGTCCGAGTCTGTTCTCATGTCCCCTGGTGCTGTGGTCCGAGTCTGTTCTCTTGTCCCCTGGTACTGTGGTCCGAGTCTGTTCTCATGTCCCCTGGTGCTGTGGTCCGAGTCTGTTCTCATGTCCCCTGGTGCTGTGGTCCATACCTGTTCTCATGTCCCCTGGTACTGCAGTCTAGGCCTATCCTCTTGTCCCCTGGCGCTGTTGTCCATGCCTATCCTCAACTCCACAGATACTGTCATCTTGTCCCCTGGTACTGAGGTCCAAGCTTGTCCTCTTGTCCCCTGGTACTGTGGTCCGAGTCTGTTCTCATGTCCCCTTGTGCTGAGGTCCAAGCTTGTCCTCTTGTCCCCTGGTACTGTGGTCCGAGTCTGTTCTCATGTCCCCTGGTGCTGAGGTCCAAGCTTGTCCTCTTGTCCCCTGGTACTGTGGTCCGAGTCTGTTCTCATGTCCCCTGGTGCTCTGGTCCGAGCCTGTCCTCTTGTCCCCTGGTACTGTGGTCCGAGTCTGTTCTCATGTCCCCTGGTGCTGAGGTCCAAGCTTGTCCTCTTGTCCCCTGGTACTGTGGTCCGAGTCTGTTCTCATGTCCCCTGGTACTGTGGTCCGAGCCTGTCCTCTTGTCCCCTGGTACTGTGGTCTAAGACTGTCCTCTTGTCCCCCGGTACTGTGGTCTGTGACTGTCCTCTTGCCCCCTGGTGCTCTGGTCCGAGCCTGTCCTCTTGTCCCCTGGTACTGTCCTCATTTATGTCCACTTGTGCCATGGTCCCCATCAGTCTTCCTGTCCCTCCCTCCACTGAGGCTCTCTCCTTGCAAAGTTCCTGGTTCTGGTTTTCAGCTCTAACTGGACCCTGGTTAGTTTATGGTTCTGGTCCATTCTACGGTGTGTCTGGAGCTAAAGCTGTTTACCTTCAATAAAAGGGACAACCTGGAGCTTCGTTTGGACCGGTCTGGATCTGTAAATCCACAGAACCTCTTCAATGTTATTGTTAACTCCCGGAATCAGATCCTGACTGAGTTACAGAACCCCAACCCACATGAACCCAGTCAGAACCTCTCCTGTCAGCTCAGGCCACACATCTGTGATCCAGGACTGACTGATGCAGGAGGAGAACCGGATCAGAACCTCCATGATCCTTCTGATGGTCTCAGCTTAGACTAGAACTCTGGTCTCCTTAATTCTTCTGGTTCTGATCTTAGGCCAGCTCTGTTCAATCCAAACGGTGAAATCAGAACCTGGTCAGAACCTGGTCAGAACCGAGTCAGAACCGGGTCAGAACCTGGTCAGAACCTGGTCAGGTTTGGTGTGCAATAATAGGTTAATGATGTCAGCATCTCTCTGTCTTTATGAATCGGCTCTGGCTCCGCCTCCTCTGTCAGTTACCAGGCAACCAAGCCTCTCAGCCTGGGATGGGGGGGTTCCTGTAACCATGGTAACCACCTCGCTAATCTCAGCTCGTTTCCTGTAGTTTTTTTCTTTCATTTCTCTTGTCTACTTTCTCCTCTCTTTAAACAGGGTGAGGATGAGCCAATCAGGCAGAGAGGGAACGCTGGACGGTTACTGACCGTAGGCTGTCAGACAATCTGGCACTGCCAGCTGGTCAGAAGGATGGGAGGCAGGTGGGAGGAATGAGGGCTAATTAGACTGGTTGCCTCGACCCTAATGGAGACTCTGGGTCCAGCTGACTGAGATGAGACCAGAGCTTAATTTTTATGGCATTAGATCTAGTTAACTTTTATCTAACCGAGTTTTTGTTTTCTGATGTAAATATTAAACTGGGTTGATCAGAGTCTCGCTCCAGTCCCGTTTTGTCCAGGTTGGATCAGAACCAAACCACAGACAATCATTACCTAAAAACTTAGGAATGGTCCTTTAGTTTAGCTCCAACAGCGTGATGTGAAGCTGCTGCAGCTGTTTAGCTGCTAGCATCTTCTAACTGGTCCGGAAAATGGATCTTTGATTTAAATTACATGGATAGCATCGCTTGCTGTACTCGGATAGAATAGATAGCTGCTAACAGTTAGCAATGATAACTGCTAATGGTTAGCAATGATAGCTACTAACAGTTAGCAATAACAGCTGCTAATGGTTAGCAAATTATAGCTGCTAACAGTTAGCAATGATAACTGCTAATGGTTAGCAATGATAGCTACTAACAGTTAGCAATAACAGCTGCTAATGGTTAGCAAATTATAGCTGCTAACAGTTAGCAATGATAACTGCTAATGGTTAGCAATGATAGCTACTAACAGTTAGCAATAACAGCTGCTAATGGTTAGCAAATTATAGCTGCTAACAGATAGCAATGCCACCTGCAAACAGTTAGCAATGATAGCTACCAACAGTTAGCAATGACAGCTGCTAATGGTTAGCAAATTATAGCTGCTAACAGGTAGCAATGCCAACTCCTAACAGCTAGCAATGATAGCTCCTAACAGCTAGCAATGATAGCAGCTAACAGGTGGCAATGACAGCTGTTAACAGTTAGCAATAATAGCTGCTAACAGGTAGCAATCACAGCTTCTGACAGTTAGCAATGATAGGTGCTAACAGTTAGCAATAATAGCTGCTAACAGTTAGCAATGATAGCTTCTAACAGTTAGCAATAATAGCTTCTAACAGTTAGCAATGATAGTTGCTAACAGTTAGCATTAATAGCTCCTAACAGCTAGCAATGATACCTGCTAACAGGTGGCAATGACAGCTGCTAACAGTTAGCAATAATAGCTGCTAACAGATAGCAATGATGGCTGCTAACGGTTAGCAATGATGGCTGCTAACAGTTAGCATTCTTAGCTACTTAAATACTAATAAAGGATGTAGAGAGAACTGAACTTCCTGTCTGTGGTCCAGACCAGGACCACATACTGGACCAGATGAGACCTGCTGCTGGTTCTGAGACCAGCTGGAACTGGACTCTGTGAGAAAGATTCTGATGGATTCTGGTTACAGATCAGAACCTGGAGGTTAGAACCAGTCCTGCTAGATAGGAACCTGTGTTCAAAGTGTTTGAGGCAGACTGAGACCAGAGATCTGGAACCTCTGCTGGTTCTGATGTGACTTGATGTCTTAGTGCTGAAACTAAGGGACTGGTTGACGGACGACCAATCAGATGAGTCAGAGTGAAAACTAGTTACAACATAGTTATGGTTTTAACTAGTTCTGCAGGTATAAAGAACCAGACTTCCCGTTGATGACTGTAGGTTCTGTACAGGGCACCAGGTTCTGGATCTGGTTCCAGGTTCTGTATAGAACATTTGGTTCTGTAAGATCTTAGTGATTGTTTTACCATCAGAACACCATTCAGCTCTGATCCAGAACAGAACCAGACCTGCCTCTAACAGCTGGACTGACCTCTGTCTCTGCAGAAGTACCGTTACCAAGACGATGAGACTCCACCTGTGGACCCCAGCCCTGGTCACATGACCATTGGACGCAGCGCTGAGCTGAGCCACGCACACCTGGACGGATACACACACCCAGCAGCACTCACCGTAGGTACCAACCCCCCAGAGTTCCTCTGTTTGAGCTGAAGTTCTGGTTCTAGAGTGAAGGCCGGACGGATCAGGGTGCAGTTCTCTGTGTGACCAGCAGGAGGCAGCGGCAGCCTGAACCGCTGCATGTTGGTTTCTAATGAGCCTCCATCTGCCTGATGCCCTGCAGACACAGTCAGATAATTAGGGACCAAACAGAAGCAGCAAACAATCTGAAGCAAATCAAAACAAAGAAACGCCTAACCCAGAATGGGTCTGAATCTCTACATCTGTGGCCGGTTCTCTGCCCAGCAGAACCAGGTTCTGTAGAACAAAGAATGTGAAGGAAATACTGAAGAGAAAATGAAAAAGTCTGGTCCAGTCATTCCTAAAGGGAAAATGGAAAACTTCTGATTTTTATGCTTCTGCACCATCTTTTCATGGATTTTCTTCAAGAAATGTGGACAGGTTCTGGTTTCCATTGACAGGATGTCAGAATAACGTCAGTGGAAGAATCGGTCCGTTTAACCAGAGAACAGCAGATGTTCTGCTGAGCAGGAGGTTAGAAGAGATGTTGTTCAGGTTGTTCACAGATCTGTTAAGATCTACCCCAGATCAGAATCATGGAGGTCCAAAGTGTTTTCCCTTTTATTATTTAAAAGACTCTCTAGGACATTCTGTGAGGTCCTCTAGGGTGTCCATCCTGTTGTGGTGAGGGGTTCCACCCCTACAGGGATCCAGCTGTGAAGGTGTCTTTAAAGGTGCAGCAGATCTTTTTTGACTCAGTTTTTACCATGTGGCTTAAAGGTCTCCCCACAGCCGCTTAGCGAGCAGTGAGATAGAAGGTCTGGAAGTGAAACTGAAATAAATGGCCCCCGCTACAGTGAGAAATCAATGAATAACCCCAACCAATAAAAAAAACCGGTCCGTTGTACACGATTGGTTCCTGACACGTCAATCATGGTCGTCTGCTTGTCCCTCCCCCTGTGCGCGTACCCTGACACACGAACGCATCGACCCCCCAATGGTTAGGATGCCATTGCTAGAAGCTAGCCACTGTTATGCTACGTTCACACCTATGGTGATCAGATTTGGGCTGTTGACTGGCTGATCTGGGAGCGCCCGGCGGCGGGGGACGGAGCGCCTGAACCCAGCCCGGTGACGGTAGCCTGGACACGGCGGCCCCATGCTTCCCCCCGCCTGCCTTACTGCTGGTGTCCAGGCTACCGTCACCGGTGTTGGGTTTGGGGCCTCCATCCTCATGGCTCAGTTCTGTTGCACTCTAGTCGACCAAAATCTTGGACAATTTTGAAATTCCACCGGACATTTTTTAGGTATGAAAAGTAGGACATGTCCAGGAAAAAGAGGACATCTGGTCATCCGAGTCACACCTAAAGCAAAGGGGAAACTAAAACGCGCTGCTTCCTTCCTGATGCTTGTACAACCTTAGTTCTGACGCGCAGCTAAAGCATCTTTGCTTCTCTAGCTGCGCAGTGGTAAAGTGGGTCTGATGCGTGGTGGGCGGAGCTACTCTATCCTTTCTCTGCCTGGAACAATGGCGGCTATATTAGCTGTGATCAGCGGGTAGAAAGTAGTTTTTCATCTATGTTGAAGTGAGAAAGTCCTCCTGAAAACATGGTCTGTGCAGTCAGTTCATCCAGATTACCATCCTGCCTTCAAAGATTATTTCTCTGTGGGAGCCGCTCAGACCCCCACATACCGGCGCTGCGCTGTCACTGGGAATCCCATTCAACAGCAGCCTATGGCCCAGTGGCGTCCCCGCGGTTTGCCGCGGCGGAGGCGACCGGCTGGAAGGCGTTTTCCTGTCCGTAATCCAAACTGTAGGCAGCAGGATAATAAAAGTGAACACATTCTGCTGGCAGGTTTCTACATTTGAAGTTAATTTTATATGTTAATAAACTGTTTCAGAGGAGTGATCGTAGCGCTCTGCATCGCTGCATCAGCGCTGCATGAGACAGCATGCGAGTTCATGTGTTTTTAAGGCGTGGTTCTGAGGGGTGGTCTGAAGGGAGAGGCATGGTTGTGTATGTTCAAAAAATAGCTTGCAGGAACGGTTTTTCCAACATATCCTACAGCACCTTTAACTCAGTGTTCTTGACTCTCATCATGTCCTCCAGCAGTCTAAGCCTATAGCAGCATAACTACCCCCCAAACACCAGATGGTATTTAGATGGTGGTTTTTAGGCTACATCTGGTCAGTCCATCATAGACTAAATTTAGTCCAGAGATAGATGTTAAACATTGGGCTGTGTTTGGTCTGTCTGATTTTGTCCAACTATGGTCTACTGAAAGATGTAGAAAAGACATTTCAAACCCAGTTTTCAGTTTCTTTAAATTCAGTTTATTTTTTTATTTATTTTCAATGATCTACAAATTACTGCTTTACACCTTTCATTGTTTAATCAAATGCAGGTTCTTGGTCATAAATATCATCGCCTTCGATGTCGTTCTACCAGTTTTTGCTCGGTGGGATAGAGATAGATCAGGATAACCACTCTAACTAAAAGATCTGCCTCCCATTCTACTTTTAGAAATTCTAGGAACCACTAGTAAACCTGCAGATTGAGAGCGAAGTGCTCTGTTAGGAACATAAGGAACAATCAGATCTCTGATATCAGATGGAGCTTGGCCATTTAAGGCTTTATATGTGAGAAGGAGGATTTTAAATTCTATTCTGGATTTAACAGGAAGCCAATGAAGAGAAGCCAGGATAGGAGAGATATGATCTCTCTTTTTCATTTTCATCAGAACTCTGGCTGCAGCATTTTGGATCAGCTGAAGGCTTTTAACTACAGTTTGTGGACTTCCTGATAGTAAAGAATTACAATAGTCCAGCCTTGAAGTAACAAATGCATGGACTAGTTTCTCAGCATCACCCCTGGACAGGAGATTGCTCATTTCTGCAATATTCCTCAGATGAAAGAAGGAAATTCTAGAAACCTCTTTGATCTGGGATTTAAATGACAGGTCCTGATCAAAAACAACACCAAGATTTTTTACTTTATTATCTCAGAACTAAGATGGTTGTATTCATTCTTTAGGACACTTTAAAGAGCAGTCATCACCTTCCAGTCTTAGTTAACGTGTTTGTAGACCTAAAGCTTCCAGACAGGCGGGGGTCTGGGTGTCGTTTGCTCCTTGTGGAAGTAAAGGTCCATCCAAAGGTGTGATGGATGCTGTCAGGTTCTGCTCTGAGGGTGGACGGCCTCTGACCCTGATGACATCACAGGGATGTAGTTGAAGGGACCTGAAGTGAGGTTTGTGCTGAGGCTTCAGAGCTGCTGTGATCTCAGCAGCAGCAGGTCTGAGGTCAGCTCTTCTGCTGTTATTAATATTCACACTGCTGAGATCAGTGCTACAGCCACAGGGGCTGCTTCAGCCGTAATTACTCACCAACGCACACACACACACACGCACACAGCACACACACACACACAGCAACACACACACACGCACACACAGCAACACACACACACACACACACACACACACACACACACACACAGCAACACACACAGCAACACACACACAGCACACACACACACAGCACAGGGAGCAACACACACTGATGGAGCAGCACACACTGATGGAGAAACACACACTCTCTCCCCCATTTTCTCCCCTCTCCCCCCCCCTCCATGGCGTGGGCCGCCCATGCCCACTCTGAATGCGATGCATCCCTCTGCTTTTCGCTCAGCCGTCTCCATGGTAACGCAGAGAATGGCAGAAGGGGGGGTGGGCATTGAAAAGAAAAGACAATGAAGGGGGAGTTGTTACCATAGCAACAGTACTAGCCTGAAACGCAATGGGTTTTTTTTTTTCTAAATCTTTTTGTAGGAATTCAATCTCTCTCTCTCTCTGGGTTTCTGCCTCGCTCGCCCGGGTGGGTGACATCACAGAGGGGAGGGGATTCCTTCAGAGAGAGGAGAGAGGACAGGTAGAGAGACAGCAGCTCTGACAGGGAGAGAGAGAGGGAGGGAGGCAGAGAGACGACAGCTATCAAAAGGGGAGAGAGGAGGAGGGAGGTAGAGAGACAATAGTGCTCATAGAGAGAGAGGGGGGAGGGAGGGAGGGAGGAATGGACCGCCTCTCTCTCTCTCTCTCTTTCCAGAGGAAACGTTCCCTCGTTCCCCTCGTCTCTCTGCAGGACTCCTGTCGTTGCTCCTCTTCCTCCTGCAGGACTCTCCTCCTCCTCTTCCTCTGTCCACTAAGTGGGGGACGACACAATGATGTCCTCAGCTGTCCATCATGTCTCCGCTCTTCGTTAGCGCGTCCAGGAGATGAGCTGAATGTCCCTCTCTTCGTCTGCTGGTTAATAATTCATCTGTCCCTCCATCATCATCATCATCGTGGTCTTTATGTAAGCGCCATCCTCCTGAAGACACGCTGAGACAGGAAGGGATGTTTGTGTCGGTGTGGTATGCCAAGAAGATGGGAAGAAGATTCATCAACAACGTTAGGAGAGCAAAGAGGCACAGGCAGAGGATGATGGTAGGACACCTTTCATTTGGTCACAAGCTTTAATGGCTCTCCTGAGCCCCTGATTGGCCTTTCTAAGGAGTGGGAGGGGCCTGTGGTGGGACCAATCATGTCCTGAGGAGGACAAAGTTTCTGTGACCTTTTGGGTGGAAAAACTTAAAGGTAAACTTGGTCCATCGTCAGGACCTTCTGGTTTGAAGGACGGATGGATGATGGATGGATGGATGGATGGATGGATGGATGGATGATGGATGGATGATGGATGGATGATGGATGGATGGATGGATGGATGGATGGATGGATGGATGGATGGATGGATGGATGGATGATGGATGGATGGATGATGGATGGATGATGGATGGATGGATGGATGGATGGATGGATGGATGGATGGATGATGGATGATGGATGGATGATGGATGGATGGATGGATGGATGGATGGATGGATGGATGGATGATGGATGGATGGATGGATGGATGGATGATGGATGGATGGATGGATGGATGGATGGATGGATGG